CCCTGGCCAGGGGGTGACCCACATGGCACAGCAGACCTCTCCTGTCTCACCTGCTGTTCTCCTCAGCAGTGTATTTCAGTAGACCTGCCTGTTCTGCTCTCCACTGTCTCTAGTGAATCCTACCTGCTACATCTCTGACCTACACCCCAGTTCTTGCATATATAAACAAAATAATTTTTTCGATAATAATAAAAAAATAAAGCTGAACCTTCCCAATTTGGGGAGATCTTATGAGCCTTCCATGAGTGCAGGCTGCCCTACATCTCTGAGCATGGAGACCCAGCAAAGAGAAGGCAGCAGTAGAGAGTGCTGTGACTGCAGTAACAGACTGACCCAAAGGCAGACAGGGAGTGAGGCAGCAAACACTGGTGGGTTCCTAGCACAAAGCCCCTCTAGCATCCTGACAAGGCAAGTGTTTGGCCTGTGGTGTGGGAAGGATGGTCATCTCAAGATGTCCCAATTCCACACACAGGCAACCTCTGCCTTCATTTCCTGGGTTATCAGATACTGAAGATGGAGCTCTCTCCCCACTTAGTAAATTAATGCATTGGCACTGTAGAAAGAAAATATATTTACTTTGTATGATGAATATCCACGCATCCCCCTAAAATATAATGACTATGTGAATTTCACCTTGGCCTGTGGTGACTAAACCCACTTGCTGCCTGAGAAGTCCTGGGAACTGTCTGTGGCTCCAGCCCAATATCCCAAATTGTTCCTCCCCGTGGCTCCTGGCTAGATCCAAATCACTGCAATACTGACAGGTCATCCTGGTCCCTACCTGCAACAATGGCCAGAAACTGACCATCTTCTTGAGCGTTTGTAGCTGTGATAGGGCTTCCGGCCCTCCCGCTACAGCAGGCAGGCAGGCAGTAGGGGGAGAAACCTCCCTTGGAAAGATGATGAGGACAGAGGGTAAAAGATCAGGGTCCCACCTCTCTTCAAATGACTATGTAGATTCCTTTAGGGAGGGTGGGACCTATCTATGATAATTGTTTGCCACATCTATCTGGAGTAGTTTATAAAAAGTAAAGCACAATGTAACGCTCTAAGTTATGGTGGAAAAAAACTTTGGGAGTGATTAGGACCAAAAATAAAGGAAACATTTCAAAATAGTGTAATAATCACCTATATCTCAGTTTGTCATGCAGGTTTGCACTTCCTACTCCCTGAGTTACAGAGGGCTATGAGGTGGCTTCATTCTTCCACATTACAAGTCAGAGGCTCTGGCTTAAAAAGTGGGCTCAGGACAGAGCCTGGCACTGATGGAGACAGCAAGGAAAGGTATATCCAATGGTGGGCCTCTCGTATACCCAGAAATTATACTCTACAGGTAGTTAACAATTCAGAGAGATAGTGGAAGGAGAGGTTGAGCAGGACCTGTTGGGTTGAATGAGTTAATGGATATTAAAATATTAAGATAAAAATAAATTATGCCTTACTCTAAACAATGTTAATG